GTCACTGTGGAGGGGTCACGTGGAGGGGTCACTGTGGAGGGGTCACCATGGAGGAGTCACTGTGGAGGGGTCACATGGAGGGGTCACTGTGGAGGGGTCACCATGGAGGGGTCATTGCAGAGGGGTCACCATGGAAGGATCACTGTGGAGGGGTCACTGCGGAGGGGTCACCCGGAGGGGTCACCCAGAGGGCTCACTGCAGAGAGGTCATTGCAGAGGCGTCACCATGGAGGGGTCACCCAGAGGGGTCACCCAGAGGGGTCACTGTGGAGGGGTCACCATGGAGGGGTCACCCAGAGGGGTCACCATGGAGGGGTCACTGCAGAGGGGTCACTGAGGAGGAGTCATCATGGAGGTGTCACTATGGAGGGGTCACCCAGAGGTGTCACCCAAAGGGGTCACCGTGGAGGGGTCACCCAGAGGGCTCACTGCAGAGGGGTCACCATGGAGGAGTCACTGTGGAGGGCTCACCACGGAAGGGTCACAATGGAGGGGTCACCATGGAGGGGTCACTGCAGAGGGGTCACCCAGAGGGGTCACCCAGAGGGGTCCCAGCCGGGCTCGGGGCAGGAACACAGAGCAGCAGAGCTCAGATCCAGGTGATTCCACGCCATCTCTGTATCCATGGATTGCTCTCCACCCTGTCCATGCCTTTCCCAGGCCCTGTGGCTGCAGTGCCCTGAAGCAGGGGACGATCCCCAGCCAAGCCCTGCAGACCAGACCATCCCCTCCATTACTGTTTCTATCAGTGTTCCCTCTCTCCCAAACAATAATTCCCTTTTCCAAACCCCATGGGGAGCTCCGTGAGTTCCAAACCTGTGGAAAACCCAAGCATGGAGGCTCTGGCGCACTGCTGAGGAGTGACCTCCCTGCAGGAAAGCTCTGTGATCCTCCAGGATGTTCCTCTCCATCCTTTCTCACTCAAAAATCCTCTTCGCCAGCCTTGAGCACACAGGGAAGAGGGATTTCAGCACTTTTCCCCTAAAAACCTGATCCCTTTCTGCTGCTGGACATTCTTTGTGTTGCAYCTCCAGCATAAAAYCATGGGGACCCCCTGGGAGTTGGGRTATCCATCCTCTGCTCCCACCTCATGCCCAAAGCTCCCCCACTTTCCCATTCCTTTACTTTTAATCTTGGGGAAATTACCTACAATTTAAAAAAGGATGGAGATGGAGGCACAGATGCTGTCATTGCCCCTAAATCCAGCTGCAAGAGGAATATTTGGAAACCCAGGCCTCGGGTGCTGATGGATGTGGGATCGTCACGGAAAAGAAAAATTGTCGAGGCAAAGACCAGCAACGAGAATGTTGTAATTCAGCTTTCTTTGTTAAAAAAACAAAACAAAACAACCCAAAACATAGAACAACCCAAACATCGAACAGATTTGTTAAACCACAGACATAAAAGAATCGAGAAATCCTACCAAAAAAAAAAAAAAAAAAAAAAA